TTCCGCTACCCGGCGCGAGATCGATCTGCTCTTCCGCCGATGGCGAACCGGAAACAAGCTTCGCCGGCGAAAGAGTCCAGATAATCTACACCTTGTGTCAAGCTTCAACAATGGCCCGTTCGGACTCGAAGTTGGTTACCATGTCTCGTCTAAGCCTAAGGCCATGTTATTACGAGGCTCGGACGAGATGCCGATCTGATTCTTCGCAAAGGCATCCCGAGACAACCCATGTCTGCAATTCACGTCGCTTTCGAGATTAATCCCGCTACAAGTCTTGTATGTCTGTCTGTCCGATCGAAGCGCAGTTCCTTGGTCAAATTCATGATTATCAAAGATAAGCGAGAAGAAAGCGATAAAGAGGAGGCCAAGCCCGCGAGACCATTACCGGAGACGGCGTTATCCTCTATGGACAGGACTACTGTATTTCAATTGCATCTTATTGCTTGGACCTGCAAACGCAGACGCTGTCGCTAGAGGAGGCTCGCGAGGGCTGGCTAACGCAAGGCCTGGGCGATGGGAGAAACGCGACGGGTCATTCAACTTGTCGGCCCGACGGGGGCCAGTCGCGCGCGCTGACCGACCACATCATCCAAGGCCAGATCATGGAACTGGCATGGGCCGCGGACGACGGGAACCCAAGTGCAGCATGTCTGATGAGGACTCGACTTCAGGGCCGGCCCGCAGCTCATCATGGATTTGCTGACGTGGAGAGACGCGCGGGAGCAGCCGACAAAAAGACCGGCGTCGAAATGATAACGAGTCGTGATGTGTCTTCATGACGAGCTCGAGACCGGATTCGAACCAGTGACTTCAAGATCTGCAATCTCGCACGCTAACCGCTGCGTCACTCGAGCTTCGTGGTCATGAGGGCATCGCTAAGCGCGAATCGCTGGGGGGCTGGGCAAGTTTGCGGATCTATGTACGAAGTAGCCGGCAAAACGCTACCGAAACCAAGTACAACCCTCCATAATCAGGTACTTCGAGGCAGGCAAGACAAGGCCTAGGAAGTAGGTACCTGCAGATAAACGTATTGGCTCCTTGGGGCATCTAATAAAGGGGCCGGGGGAGGATAGGGCACCGTTGGCAGGTACCCGAGCCAACTAGCTTATCAGCTGCGCAAGCGAATCCAGCACCGCGGGGATACCCGCCACCCCCAGAGTGACCTCCGCCCGGTCTAGCCGGATCCGCCCCACCGTTTTGGTCTGCTCGACGCTAGGCGAGACGCCGCTGCTTTCGTCTCCGCTTCAGCTCCTCAAAGAGGTAGCTACCTATTCTGACACATAGCACCCTCTCGAAAGCTAGGCTCAGCGCCTCTGCATCCGTCTCCCTCGGCGACCGAGCCATCTTGACTCCGGCACGGTAGCCGCCTCGGACAACGACGCGTCGCGCCAAGTGCCCTCTGCGACACCAGCTTGCCAGGCCGAAGCCAGCCGAGCCTCGATCCGGCGCACGCGGCGCCATCGACTGGCCTGCAAAAGCCAGCATGGAACACGGACAGTGCAGCAAGTTCCCTAGGAGGAATGCTGCCCCGACGTCGATGTCGCTGCTTGCTGCCACCAGCCACTCGACCGCCCGGAGAAAGGGCTCGCCTTGTCTTGCCGGCGAACACTGCCGCCCTCGCCCCGTCGTGAAGGCACTGCTCCTCATTTAACCCGCCTGGCCTTGCTCACTGCGCGCCGAGCCTGGCAGGTGCGCATTCTCCAGGCAGCATGCGCTCTTCCGTGCTCCTCTTTCTCGCCGGCTTGCTGGCCGATGCCGTCCGAGCCAGCTTCGACGGCAACATCAACTACCTCAGCCCCTCGACCCGGCACGCAAACCTGGGCATCGACGTCGACCTGGTCCAGCGCCGCTCCTGGAAGCGCGACAGCGTCGAATTTAGGCCGTCCGAGCTGGCCTTCACCCATGGCGTTGCCTCTGGGGACCCTTGGCCGTACAGCGTCATTCTCTGGACTCGCATTGCCCCCTCCAACGAGTCCGATGGCGGCGAGGCCACCATCAACGGCACCGCGCCGCTCTACAGCCACGAGACGCACAAGTTCGTCGACGCCAGCCCGAATCCCGTCTGCGTTGAGTGGAACATCTTCACCAGCGACGGTGCCGTCGGCCAGAATGACAACGACTTCATCATCGCCAGCGGCGAGGCCACGACGAGCTCCGACATCGATTACACTGTCAAGGTTGCCAAGCCCTCTCTCAATTACCTGAAACCGCCGCTGAATAGTGGCCATGCAGGTTGAAGCTTGTGGCCTCGAGCCCAACACCCGGTATTACTACCAGTTCAACGTCTGCGGCTCCGACAAGACGAGTCCCATGGGCCGCACAAAAACTGCCCC